TAGAAAACCTAAGAATAGTTTTTCGACATCTCAGTAAGGCTTTGTTCAGGACTCTGTACACCATGTGCGTCAGGCCAATATTAAAGTGTGCAGCACCAGTTTCCAACCCACACCTGGCGAAACACTTAAGTAAATTAGAGAAAGTGCGAAAGTTTGCAACGAGACTTGTTACATAGCTAAGGGGCATATCTTACGAGGATAGGTTAAGGAAAATTGACTTATGAAACTGGAGGACAGGAGGGACAGGTAGGACTTGATAACAGCATATAAAACACTGGGAGGAATCGGCAAGGTGGACAGAGATAAGATGTTCCAGAGATGGGACACAGGGACAAGGGGTCACAATTGGAAGTTGAAGAATCAGGTGAGTCACAGAGATGTTAGGAAGTATTTCTTCAGTCACATAGTTGTCAGGAAGTGTAATAGTCTGGAAAGTGAGGTGTGGAGGCAGGATCCAAACATAGCTTTAAGAATAGGTATGATAAAGCTCACAGAGCAGGCACTGAGTGACTAATAGCGACCAGTAAAGAGGCAGGGCCAGAATTATGACTCTACCCCTGGAACCACAATTAGTGAGTACACACACACATCACAAATGACCACAAAAGATTACATAAGTTTTTCATTCTGTGGTAACAATAAAACAATGGGTTACCAGAGAACAGGACAGAAAACCTAGGGACTAAAGGAGGAAAATTGGAAGGAAGAATGGGTAGCAAAGCTCATGAAAAAGGAACAAGTGTGGAAAAGGAAACTAGAAGAGTTTAACAAGACAATGGAGGAGAGGATAGCTGCACAGAGAAGGAAATGGGGTATTTAAGCCACAGCAGCAGAGACTAAGATACAGAGCTTACAAGAGGAACTGAAATATCTGAAACAGCCTAAAGAACCAAAAAGCAGAATGGGCAGGGCATCAGAAACTGCTATATCAGCCACAAGAGAGGGGATGAAGGGAACAAAGGAGTTAATCCGCATCAGACACCTTGAAGCCTGGAAAAGATAAGGAGCACGCCAGGAACAACTGAGGGGACTGAAGAAAACAAAAGAGAGGGCTATACACGAAGGCCCTAGCAGGCAACAGCAGTGCCCAGGAAGAGCTGAAAAGATAAAATGACAGACTACTGGGCACAGGAACAACAGATAGAGAATAGAGTAAAGGATGGAAAGCTGCAATGGGACAACTGAGAGAGCAATATCTAAAGCTAACCCTGATTACCTCTGAGGCCTCGGATATTCCAAAGTAAATAAGCCATGATTTGCGAAGAGAAAGATTCAAGAAATCTGAAGGTAGAGGTATCTACGGACTAGAAGGGTTAGAAAAGTCCACATGTGGAGGCAGTGAAAAACTTTTAAGCTGCAAAGAATTGGGAAGCTGTGAAGAAAGTAGTTGTGCAGATGGAGAAGAGTGAAGAGGAGAAACAGGAGGGGATATGCGTTCATCACTGGTCGAGTCTCCTTAATATATTCTGAGATAGCTTCAAGTGTTTAAGAGGACAAGGACATTGTATGTGGTAAAATATTGAAGATGGAAGGAGGAGGGTGAGTAAAGACTGGGGCGACGATGAACTGAACTTAAGAAGTGAGGGGAACGAAAGGGTAGAGGGAACTGGAGAAGACGCTTGGGAGGAGACAGGAGAGGAAGCGACCTGAGAGGGGACAGAAGAGGAAGAAACTTGGGAGGGAACTGGGTAAGAAATTACTGTACGAGGAGGAAAATGAACTTTCACACTCGAAACAGAGCCAGTTAGTGGTGAAGAACGGGGTACAGAGACTGCAAAGGAAAAATGTGCAGGTTGCAAAAGGTAAGGAGTGGTGAAAGGAGATTTTAACACTAGAGACTTTTTGAACTTTGGAGAAAGAGAGGGGCTTAGGGGAGAAGGAGGTGTTGTACAAGGTCTTGTAGACACAGATACTTGTGAGTGAGAAGAGAAAGAGGTGAGAACAGAATGAAGTGTCGAGGTAGGGACCTCTGAGTCCAGTACAGCAAAAGAATTAGAAACAGGGGTAACTGTGGAAGAGAAGAAAGCGGGTCCCCATAGGTGGGGGGGTCATTCAGCAACTCGTGAATAAGAAACATTTGAAGTCTCCCTTGGAGACATAGATGAGAGACTGTCATAGCATAAGGAAAGTCTTCTGCCTTTTTTGAGACAACAGATATCTCGCTCATTTAAGTAAACCTGGCAATGGTGAGAGCAAGATGGGTGAGCCTCATGACAATTAAGGCAAGAGGGAGGTAGACTACAAGGCATATTGGTATGGTCGTCGGCACCAGACTCGGCATTCGGCCATGGACCTGCAATATTTTGCTGGATCACCAAAACGCCAGAAATTTCTAGACTGTTGCGGTGTAGGGATCACCTTTCAAACTTGTAAACGGTGTCCCACAATATATACAGAGAACGGAAGCTCACGGCAGTCAAAGGTTAAGCTAGCTACATTGCAATGGTATCGTCTCTGCCTGCGAGCAAGGAGGCTTGGAGCTCAAACTGTTCTAGACTGTCATCACCACATGTCTGGAAATTCTTTTGGACGATGGTATGGGGTAGAATGACAGTACCACTAGAAGAATTGAGGGAATGATGTTTTTCAATAGCTACTGGTATATCATCGATGGTTGTAAGGAGAGAAAGCTCATGAGCTTGGCTAGCATTCTGCATGTACCACTCTTGAGAGCATGAACGGATGTATCTCTACCAACATGGTGTAGGAGCACCCTGCCAATACTATGGTCGGAAAGATAGGCAGTAGAGGAAGTTGGTTGTAGAGTAAAAAATTTAGTCCATTGTGTATTTTGAAACAACGCATAAGGGGAGTGTGTGATATGCTTGTCTTTTCAGAGTAGAATGGGAAGGAAGCAATGAAGTATCATCGGGTAATGGTCTTGGGTGTTTAGGTGTGGGACCAGAGTTGATCCGTCGTGGGATAGGTGGGCGATCTGAAAATTACTGCACTGCTGAGGGAGAAGCCGGAAGCATGGTCAAAGAAATGAGGAGGTCAGACACAGCAAAGGTGTCAGACAGAACCCTGGAACCTGGACCTGGTGACGATATGGCACCAGCAAGAGATACAGGGGCAATAGAAATGTCCGAAGAGTGGTCAAATATGAGGCAGGGTCAGAACAGGGTGTAGTATCAGGAAGGGGCCAGGGTGGAACAGGTTCATGGATCTGGGACTCTATGGTTATGTCAGTTCTTTATTTTTAGAAAAATAAAGAAAAAAGGGGGGAACGTGGAGGAATAGCTCATAGAAGGAAGGAAAGGGCTGTAAATCCCCCCTCTGTGCCCAAGAAGATCCCAGCACCACAAGTAGAGCAGATGTGGCATGGAACCCGTGCCATACCCTACCCTTCATTCCAGTAAACCAGCAATCCGGGATGGCAACCTCAGATTCGACGAGCCATCTCGGCGGATCTGTCGGATTCCACAGGGTGGAATCTGACAGGCAGCCTCCAGAGATACACCCATCACCCAAAAGACACCCAAAGCCACCCCCTAGGAGGCCGGAGAGGAATCGGGACATCTCCAGGTGATCCAGATTTCATGGCAAACTACACCACTGCCAAGGACCTCAATGGAATGGGATGGGCTACGATACCCTTCCCTCTACCTAGGAACTAGAGTGCCTGTTGGAAGAATCACAAAGGCTGAAAATAAGAAGGGGTTAGGGGAGGGATGGGGAGGAGGAGGACGAGAAAAGGGAAAAAGGGGGATGAGAAGGATGGGATAAGGAAGGGGGAACTGGGGGGGGGGAATTAGGCCCGGTCTGATGAAGGAGACCAAAAGATCCAATTCCTTAGACCAAGAGCCTCTTCACAGCGCCAATGAACCCCTCTTGAAGAGGGTATATACTTGTAAATATTGTACATAGAGCTTATTTTGTTGAAGGAAATACAATCATTTATTCTCTCTGTGGCCTTTTTGTTCATTCCTAATTGGTTATCGTGCAGCAGTAAGGAATGCAAGCCAATCGTCTACACCTGTGCTAGTAATATCAATACCCATAAAACTACCATTTCATTATAGCTGTAAATGGTATTACAAACACAGGTGTAGAGTGGCCTGCACACCTTGTTGTAATGAGACCAATAGTGGAGCAATTAAAAGACAACACAAGTTATATGATTTGTATTTCCGTCACCAAATAAGCAAGCTAGTATTTACAGTATGTAAATAATGTAAGAGAAAATGTACAATATGGTGATCACAGCAGACTAAAAGCAAGAGCCAGGGAATGCACCTTGAGTGCCCAGCAGCACGAACAAGTCTGCCAACACTCGTGTCACAAATTAACCACTTTGCCTCGTAGCTTTAGCAGGCTTGTCTGTGATTGGACGATGAACTGAGGTATTGATATAACGACAGGGCCCCTACTGATCATTAAATACTTAACACCTGGTTCGCTGGACAGGAGGCAGCCTATATGGAAGTGTGACATACCCCGTATAAAGTGTAACATATTCATACCATGCCACAGAAGGTATAAATGTATTTATGAGTCTCTGCTCATAAATATACTTTGTGATAATGAGTGATGCAGGTATGAATGTGTATCAACTGTTAATAAGACATATATTATGTAAGTTATCTGTTCATGGTAGGTGTTATTATGTGTATTCATAACCATACCGTTATGTGCCTGGTATGAAGTCTGCATCTAGAAATATGAAAAAAAAAAACATTAAATGATATGTTAGATAATTTATTGGGTGTATGGCCTATCACCTACACGTGTGCTATTAGAGCAGCACTTGTCTAGCAATCCCAAAAATACAATACCTTAACTAAGAGATCACAAGAAACTCTCTCTATATACGTTTATTGTACAGTAAGAGGAACATTCCTGTCAGTATAACTATACACTGTTTCAGAGTGCGTTACGAATACCCAGAGTTATTCATATCATTTTATAAAATATTAAAATGCGGCATCCTAATAAATATATTATTTACAGAGTTCTGAAACACTGAGATTATTATAGCGTCCTCTCTGGTACTTACAGCCTTCCTGGTACCTGCAGCCTTCCTTGTGCTTGCATCTTTCCTGGTACTTGTATCCTCCCTAGTATGAGGATCGTCACCGGTGCTTGCCTACATGCGCAAGACTGCTCCGATATTCAACGTCAAGGTGTGACTCAGAGTGGCGTCTACCAGATCTTCCCCAATAAGTAAGATGTTTTCTTATTTGATTTTGACAGCATGTCTCTTGGAATGAATATAAATGTCTTGTCTGGCTGTGGCCTCTGTTAGCTATTACTTGCATTTGTGGTCACAGTGGTGCCTATGCTAACCTTCCTATGGTGTAGAAATATACCTAGGTGAACGAACCTTATTGTAGCTAGCTGGCCCAGTGGCTAACGCGACGGTCTAGAGTTTTGAGACTCTCTGACCGCGGGTTCAAACCCCACCCGTGGAATGGTTTGTTTGCAATCGTGTCATTACGATTTCGTGAGACAGAGACAATCGGCAACTTTTAGGGAAGTAATTAAAATACAGGGATATTGACTCAGAAAAAGATAATGACCAGCAAATTTCATATGTAACTCTAGTGCTCAAGTGGGCAAGGAGAAACAAAGTATTATATGGTGAAAAATATCAACTGTGTCCATACGAAATGAACGGAAAACTGAAAGTTGTCAGATTTACATACAGAAGAGAAGGAACAGACAGATTATCCAATAATAATGTTGACAGATGGTTTAATATTACGAACAATATAACTTGTTAACTGTGCCTAAAATAAGGTTCGGATTAGTGTTGAAGGCTGTAGGTGCAGTCTGGTCAATTTTATTTAAAAAAAAAAAGCATTGAATATTTTTTAATGATAATTTCATAATGCAAAATTTGATAAAAATTGCCAATTACTAACACTGTTAAAAATTTAATTATTCATTTTCCTGAGATAAATAAAGAATACTTCATGTGATTGACTTCAGATGTGAGGTGCTGATGTCAGTTTTCTTACTGTATTGAAGAAAGTGTTAAAATTAAAAATACTGACATCTGTATAACTTCTGAACAGTTTCTTTGACTGTCTTTATACTTGTTTAATTATAGGAAGATGTGTATTGTTATTGGTCTGTGTAGGTACAAATTTAGCGAAATTTTGTTTCCCACAACCAGCTATACTTATACATATTTATTTATTTTTATTATTAACACATCAGCTGCTTCTCACCAAGTCAAGGTGACCCAAAAAGAAGAAACACTTTCATCATCATTCACTCCATTGCTATCTTACCAGAGGAGTGCCTACACAACAGCGAGAAAACTACAACTTTACCACCACTCTTCAGAGTGCAGGCACTCTACTTCTTACCTCCAGGACTCAAGTCTGACCTGCCGGTTTCCCTTAATCCCTTCATAAATGTTACTTTGATCACATTCCAACAGCACGTCAAATCATAAAAAAACATTTATCTTTATTGGTCCTGTCTCATATGCGCACACACGCTTGCTGGAAGTCCAAGCATTTCACACACAAAACCTCCTTTATTTCCTCAGTCCAACTTTTCCTAGGCCATCCCCTACCCAGACATCTTTCCTCTACGGTTTATTTTCTCTCCATGTCATACTATTTTGTTCCATCCTATCTAAATGTCCGAACCACCACAACAACCTCTCCTCAGCCCACTGGATAATTACTTTTAGTAACCCAGCACCTCCTCCCATTTTCCAAATTACAAATTCTCTGCATTCTATTCACACCACACATTGCTCTCAAACATAACATATCCAATGCCTCCAGCCTTCTCCTTGTTGCAACATTCACCACCAATGTTTCACACCCATACAAGAGGGTTCGTAAAACTATACTCCCATACATTCCCTTCTTTTCTTCCATGGATAATGTTCTTTGCCTCCACAGACTCCTCAGTGCATCACTCACTTTTTTCAACACGTCTTTCATATATACGTATATGTATATACGTATATGTCGTGCCGAATAGGCAGAACTTGCGATCTTGGCTTAAATAGCAACGCTCATCTTGCCATATAGGAAAAGCGAAAATTTGCATATGCAATAATTTCGCCAAAATCATTCTGAACCTAACGAAAAAAATATATTTCACTGTGTTTGTTTAGTATTAAATTATTGTAAACAAATCTAAAATATATTTAGTTGGGTTAAGCTAAAATAAATTGTTCTTGTTATAATAAGGTTAGGTAAGTTTTCTAAGATTCTTTTGGAGCAAAATTAAAAGTTTTTACATTAACATCAATGAAAAAAATGTATATTTAAACGTATAAGAGAAAATTTTAGAAAAGACTTAATTTAAATGAGTTCTTGCTAATTGACCAGTTTTACATATTCGGCACGACATATATATATATATATACATATATATGTGTGTTCGGCGAGAATAGGGGCGGCAAGTCGAAGGGCAACACCGATGCAGATGGTCTGTGGGTCGAGTCATTTGCCAAAGCTGGAGTTGCGAACCACCAACAGTAAATCCCCTGCATGAGGGGCTCTCACTGCCAGGAGGCGGGCTCTATCCTTCCCTGACACACTCTGAAGCATTGTTGAGGCTATATTTTCCACTACTGGACCATCCCAGTGCGATTGTTTGTAGTTGTTGGGGGGAGCAGGTCTGGTTTCAGAGCCCGTTAGATTATCCCAGATCATGGCTCCGTCAATGAACTTTTGGTCCTGGACTCCAATATTATCCTTAAGATGTTAAGGGAGAATCGCTGCTACAAGCTCTCTGAATGCAACACATGAGGACAGAAAAGCAGGTAGCGCAGTCTGTGTTGACTTGTGGACACCAATGCCTCCTAGTCTGACTGGAAGTGTAGCTTGGTTCCACTGCCCGTCTTCTAGAGTAAGGTTAAGTACTTTCGTAAAAATCTGCCTCAAGATACTGTCATATTCGTGCAGTATAGGGTTATTATCTGAAGGTGCACATCTTAGGAAATATGTCAACCTGGGAAGACTCAAGCACTTTGTGAGAAGGTACAAGTCATCGTGGGTGTCCGGATTGCCTATTCGTTGTTCCATTCTCCTTTACTCTTCCAATTTCTTCCTGAGAATTGTGTCAATGACATTGCTTCCCAGAGGTGCTCCTAGCAAGACACTATTTGTGGGGGCAATGACTGCTGCTCCTAGTGGTTTTGATCTCACTGCATTTATCACTTGTTGATTGACTGAGATGATTTCACATTTGGATGGATTCAGGATGAGACCCATTTCCTGTCCTCGTGTCATTACCTGTGTAAGATCATGTAGGAGGGACTCCTTTGTACCTGCTAGTGTGCCATCATCTAGGAAGCAGATGTTTAGCTCACTGGTCAGTCTGACTGTGATTTCCCTAACTGCTATACAGAAGAGAAATGGTGCAAGAGGATGTCCTTGTTGGACACCCTCCGATGATGTGATTTTATGCTCTCCAAACAGAAGCATTGATTCCTTGCTATACCCAGTTGCAACAAGAGGGAAGAGACCAGGGAAATGTTCTTGTACTGCTGCTAATACCTCGTCTCTTTTCAGGAGATTGAATGCATTTTTGAAATCTAATTTTACCACTGCATTGTCCTCAGGCAGGTTGTTGATATACGCCCTTGTTGCATGAACCACTGCTTCACTTCCTTGAGAGACCCCAAAGCCAAGCTAGTTTGGTTGAAGCATCATGGCTGCCTGTGCACGAATACTTCGGACAGCAGCTTTGGATACGAGGAGGCGTAACGTGTTGCCTACTGCAATTGGCCGAATTCCTCCATCCTTCTTTTTAAGTGCACAAAGTGTTGCACCAAAAAAGGTCTAATTTCATCAGGAATCAGACCACGAACCTTTTGATCTCTGAAAGCAGTGTCTCTGCAATTTCCCCAATAACTGGATTAACCATTCCCTTTATATGTTGTGGCCTTATTTTAGTGTAACCCCCAGCAGAGCCAGATGAGGATGAGGGTCCCTATAACAGTTCTAGAGGTGGTACCCCCCTGTATTATTTATATATTTATATTTATATATATATATATATATATTATATATATATATATATATATATATATATATATATATGTAACCACGAACGAGTGGTATTGATCAATAACAACACTGCGCTAGACAAGGATTCGAACCCATGTCGTACTGGCCTGCCTCATGGTAAGCGAGAACTACATGACGCTTTAGACCACAGGACCACCATACTCTTCCTCCCCAATTTGATATTTAATTTTTCTTTATCTTAATCATTTGATACCCTCATCACCTTACTCTTTTCTATGTTTACTTTCATCTTTCTACCTTTACACACACTCCCAAACTCGTCCACTAACCTTTGCAATTTTGCTTTAGAATCTCCCATAAGCACAGTATCATCAGCAAAAAGTAACTGTGTCAATTCCCATTTTGTATTTGATTCCCCATAATTTAATCCCACCCTTCTCCCGAACACCCTAGCATTTACTTCTTTTACAACCCCATCTATAAATATATTAAACAACCATGGTGTCATTACACATCCCTGTCTAAGACCTATTTTTACCGGGAAGTAGTCTCCCTCTCTTCCACACACCCTAACCTGAGCCTCACTATCCTCATAAAAACTCTTTACAGCATTTAGTAACTTACCACCTATTCCATAAACTTGCAACATCTGCCACATTGCTCCCCTATCCACTCTATCATATGCCTTTTCTTAATCCATAAATGCAATAAAAATTTCCCTACCTTTATCTAAATACTGTTCATATATATGCTTCAGTGTAAACACTTGATCAACACATCCCCTACCCACTCTAAAACCTCCTTGCTCATCCACAATCCTACGTTCTGTCTTACCTCTAATTCTTTCAATTATAACCCTACTGTACACTTTTCCTGGTATACTCAGTAAATTTATTCCTCTATAATTTTTACAGTCCCTTTTGTCCCTCTTCCCTTTATATGAAGGGACTATACATGCTCTCCGCTAATCTCTAGGTACCTTCCCCTCTTTCATACATGTATTAAACAAAAATACCAACCACTCCAACACTATATCTCCCCCTGCTTTTAACATTTCTGTCATGATCCCGTCAGTTCCTGCTGCTTTACCTTCTTTCATTCTCCGTAATGCCTCAGGCACCTCCCCCACACTCACATCCTGTTCTTCTTCACTCCTACAAGATGGTATACCTCCCTGGCCAGTGCATAAAATTACCTCCTCACTTTCTTCGTCGACAT